CTTCCTCTTTTTTCTAATTCGTGAGCACCACCCCACAACCCTAATATTGACCTCTCTTTCCCCTCCATCAATTTCCCTAACCCTAATTCCCATCCAAATCCCTAATTTTTTGACTCACTAAACCCTAAACACCCTATCTTCAATCACTCGTAGCAATGAGAACCAAGGCTCGGGTAAGATGCATTGGTAGAGTCGCTTGGATTCAAGCCAATGACTCTAGTGAGTCCTCCCCGAACCACTCTGTTGCTCCTCCAATAAACCACCATAATGAAGTCTCGTAGTCAACAATAGGGCCGGTGCCACCACCGTCTATGCAACTTTCATCCTCCATCGACCTTACTATGCAAACCGGTAGCGTAACCCATACCTCCGAGTCTTCACCTCAATCGTAAGCACCTCAAGTCGAGCTACCTAGGAACATATTCAAAACCACATCAATTGGTGTTAAGTGCTACTAATAATTGCCCTCGCTTTAATTAGAAGAAATTTGATCATTAATGTCGATTGAAATTTGTTTTTGGAATCATTAGAAAAGAAATTAAATGAATTGAAAGAAAGAGTTTTGATTCAAATCCACCGATACTAAAATTTGATAGATGCCTATCTTTCACCCAATAGTTAATTTTCACTTCCAAATCTTTATGGTTGTACTTATCTCAAAAAAGGAACAAAGCTTATCGTTGCGTTTCTTGCTATTTCATCGTTATATATATATATAGTAAGAAAGAAGAAGAACAAAGAGAGGAATGCAAATCCTAGGAGCTTGACTCGGTATACCTCAAACATGATAGATGAAAATGGCTCGAAAATCCTTAATCATCATCACCACCGCCTCCATCGTCTTCTTTATAGACTTCCTCCATTTTTCAAAGCAAGCACTACTAAATTTTTTAAAAGTAGCACCACTAATTAGGGTTGTGATTTTAGTTGAAGTGTTTGGTGAATTTTATAGCCTGGATTCGGTGGATTATATAGGGTAGCTTCACCTTCTTATTCGATACCACCCACTTATTGGATTTTCTTACCTTGTCATTCGAAGCCACATTAATTGGTGTTAGGTTTTGCTAATAATTGCCTTTACTTTTATTTGAAGAAATTTGATAATTAATGCTGAATGAAAATTTTATTGGAATTATTAAAAAAGAAATTAAATGAATTGAAAGAAAGAGATTTGATTCAAATCCACTGGTACTAAAATTTGATAGATGCCTATCTTTCACCCAATAGATAATTTTCCCTTCCAAATCTTTATGGTTGTACTTATCTCAAAAAAGGAACGAAGCTTATTGTTGTGCTTCTTGCTATTTCATCGTTATATATATGTAGTAATAAAGAAGAAGAACAAGGAGAGGAATGCAAATCTTAGGAGCTTAACTTGGTATACGTCAAACATGATAGATGAAAATGGCTCGAAAATCCTTAATCATCACCACCACCACCTTAATCTTCTTCTTCATGGACTCTATCTAATTTTCAAAGCTACAATGTTAAATTTTTCAAAGGTAGTGCCACTAATTAAGGTTTTGATTTTGGTTGAAGTGTTTGGTGGATTTTATAGCCTAGATTTTATGGATTATATTCGGTAGCTACACCTTCTTATTTGATGCCATCTATTTATTGGATATTCTTACCTTGTCATTCAAAGCCACATTAACTAATGTTAGGTTTTGCTAATAATTACCTTTACTTTAATTAGAAGAAATTTGATAATTAATGCTGATTGAAAATTTTGTTGGAATTATTAAAAGAGAAATTAAGTGAATTGAAAGAAAGACATTTGATTCAAATCCACTCATACTAAAATTTGATAGATGTATTTTTCACCCAATAGATAATTTTCCCTTCCAAATCTTTATGGTTCTACTTATCTCAAAATAGGAAAAAAGCTTATTGTTATGTTTCTTGCTATTTCATCATTATATATATGTAGTAAGAAAGAAGAAGAAAAAAAAGAGGAATGCAAATCTTAGGAGCTTGACTTGGTATACCTCCAACATGATAGATGAAAATGGCTGCGGAAATGCTTAATCATTATCACCACCGTATCCATCTTCTTCTTCATGGACTCTCTCCAATTTTCGAAGTAGTAATGTTAAATTCTTCAAAGGCAACACCACTACTTAGGGTTTTGATTTTGGTTGAAGTGTTTGGTGGATTTTATAGGCCATATTCGAGGGATTATATAGGTTAGTTTCACCTTCTTATTCGATACCAAATGCTTACAAGATTTTCTTTCCTTTTCATTCAAAACCACATTAATTGGTGTTAAGTGCTACTAGTAATCGCCCCTACTTTAATTAGAAGAAATTTGATCATTAATGCCGATTGAAATTTTTTTAGAATCATTAGAAAAGAAATTAAATGAATTGAAAGAAAGAGATTTGATTGAAATCCATTGGTACTAAAATTTGATAGATGCCTATCTTTCACCTAGTAGATAATTTTTACTTCCAAATCTTTATGGTTGTACTTATCTCAAAAAAAGGAACAAACCTTATTGTTATGTTTCTTGCTATTTCATCATTATATATATGTAGTAAGAAAGAAGAAGAAAAAATAGAGGAATGCAAATCTTAGGAGCTTGAGTTGGTATACCTCCAACATGATAGATGGAAATGGCTCGAAAGTCCTTAATCATCATCACCACCACCTCCATCTTCTTCTTCATGGAATCCCTCCATTTTTCAAACCAAGCACTACTAAATTTTTCTAAGGCAGCACCACTAATTAGGGTTGTTATTTTGGTTGAAGCGTTTGGTGGATTTTATAGCCCGGATTTAGTGGATTATATTGGGTAGCTTCACCTTCTTATTCGATACCACCTGCTTATTGGATTTTCTTACGTTGTCATTCGAAGCCACATTCATTGATGTTAGGTTTTGCTAATAATTGCCTTTACTTTAATTAGAAGAAATTTGATAATTAATGCTGATTAAAAATTTTACTTGGAATTATTAAAAAAGAAATTAAGTGAATTGAAAGAAATTGATTTGATTCAAATCCACTAGTACTAAAATTTAATGGATGTCTATCTTTCACCCAATAGATAATTTTCCCTCCCAAATCTTTATGGTTGTACTTCTCTCAAAAAAGGTAAAACACTTATTATTGTGTTTCCGACCATTTCATCGTTACATATATACAACAAAAAAGAAGAAGAAAAAAGAGAGCAATGCAAATCTTAGGAGCTTGACTTGGTATACCTCCAACATGATAGATGAAAATGGCTCGAAAATCCCTAATCATCATCACCATTGCCTCCATCTTCTTCTTCATGGACTCTCTCCAATTTTCAAAGCAGCAATGTTAAAGTTTTTAAAGTTACCACCACTAATTAGGGTTTTGATTTTGGTTGAAGTGTTCGATCGATTTTATACCCTAGATTTAGTGGATCATATTCTGTAGCTTCACCTACTTGTTCGATACCACTCGCTTATTGAATTTTCTTACCTTGTCATTCGAACCCACATTAATTGGTGTTAGGTTTTGCTAATAATTGTCTTTCCTTTAATTAGAAGAAATTTGATAATTAATGCTGATTGAAAATCTTGTTGGAATTATTAAAAAAGAAATTAAGTGAATTGAAAGAAAGAGATTTAATTCAAATCCATTGGTACTAAAATGAGATAGATGCCTATCTTTCACCCAATAGATGATTTTCCCTTCCAAATCTTTATGGTTGTACTTATCTCAAAAAAGGAACAAAGGTTATTGTTGTGTTTCTTGCTATTTTATCGTTATATATATGTAGTAACAAAGAAGAAGAAAAAAGAGAGGAATGCAAATCTTAGGAGCTTGACTTGGTATACCTCCAACATGATAGATGAAAATGGCTCGAAAATCCTTAATCATGATCACCACCGCCTCCATCTTCTTCTTCATGGACTCTCTCCAATTTTTGAAGCAAGCAATGTTAAATTTTTCAAAGGCAACACCACTAATTAGGGTTTTGATTTTGGTTGAAATTTTTGGAAGATTTTATAGCCCAGATTCGAGGGATTATATATAGGTTAGCTTCACCTTCTTATTCGATACCACTCGCTTACAGGATTTCTTACCTTCTCATTCAAAACCACATTAATTGGTGTTAAGTGCTACTAATAATTGCCCCTACTTTAATTAGATGAAATTTGATAATTAATGCCGATTGAAAATTTTATTGGAATCATTAAAAAAGAAATTAAATGAATTAAAACAAAGAGATTTGATTCAATTCCACTAGTACAGAAAATTTGATAGATGCTTATCTTTCACCCAAAAGATAATTTTCCCTTCCAAATCTTTATGGTTGTACTTATCTCGAAAAGGAAAAAAACTTATTATTTTGTTTATTGCTATTTCATCGTTATCTATATACTCTAACAAAGACGAAAAAAAAGAGAGGAGTTTAAACCTTAAGAGCTCGACTTGGTATATCTCTAACATGGTAGATGAAAATGGCTTTGAAAATCCTTAATCATCATCATCATCGCCTCCATCTTCTTCTTCATAGAGTCCCTCCATTTTTCAAAGCCGCACTACTAAATATTTTAAAGGCAGCACCACTAATTAGGGTTTTGATTTTGGTTGAACTATTGGATGGATTTTATACCCTCGGATTCGATGGATTATATTGTGTAGCTTCACCTTCTTATTCGATATAACTCGCTTATTGTATTTTCTTACCTTATTTTCGAAGCCACATTAATTAGTGTTAGGTTTTTCTAATAATTGCCCTTACTTTAATTAGAAGAAATTTGATAATTAATGCGCATTGAAAATTTTGTTAGAATTATTAAAGAAGACATTAAGTGAATTGAAAGAAAGAGATTTGATTCAAATCCACCGATACCGAAATTTGATGGATGTCTATCTTTCACCCAATAGATAGTTTTCCCTTCAAAATCTTTATGGTTGTACTTATCTCAAAAATGTAAAAAAGCTTATTATTTTGTTTCTTGCTATTTCATCGTTATATATATACAATAACAAAGAAGAAGAAAATAAAGAGAAATGCAAACCTTAGGAGGTCGACTTGGTATACCTCCAATATGATAGATGAAAATGGCTCGAAAATCCCTCATCATCATCACCACCACCTTCATCTCTAGTTCATGGACTCTCTCCTTTTTTCAAAGCAACGACTACTAAATTTTTCAAAGGCGAGCACCTCTAGTTAGGGTTGTTCTTTTGGTTTAAATGTTTGGTGGATTTTATAGGCTATACTTGGTGGATTATATTGGGTAGCTTCACCCTCTTATTCGATACCACCTACTTATTAGATTTTCTTACCTTTTCATTCAAACCCACATTATTTTGTGTTAGGTGTTGCTAATAATTGACCCTACTTTAATTAGAAGAAATTTGACAATTAATGCCGATTGAAAATTTTCTTGGAATTATTAAAAAAGAAATTAAGTGAATTGAAAGAAAGAGATTTGATTTAAATCAATTTTATAGAAAATTTGATGGATTCCTACCTTTCACCCAAAAGATAATTTTCCCTTCTAAATCTGTATGGTCTGTACTTATCTTAGAAAAGAAAAAAAACTTATTTTTGTGTTTCTTGCTTGTTCACTCGTTATATATATACACTAACAAAGAAGAAGAAAAAAGAGAGGAGTGCAAACGTTAGGAGCTCGACTTGGTATATGTCCAACATGATAGATGAAAATCACTCGAAAATCCCTCATCATCATCACCACCACCTCCATCTTCTTCTTCATGGACTATCTCCATTTTTCAAAGCGAGCATTGCTCAATTTTTCAAAAGTAGCACCACTAATTAAGGATGTGATTTTGGTTAAAGTGTTTGATTGATTTTATAGTTCGGATTTGGTGGATTATATTAGGTAGCTTCACTTTCTTATTCTATACCACTCGCTTATTCATTTCCGCTTCGCTTATTGGATTTTCTTACCTTCTCATTCAAAGCCACATTAATTGGTGTTAGGTGTTTCTACTAATTGCCCCTAATTTAATTAGAAAAAAATTGATAATTAATGTTGATTATAAATTTTATTGGAATTATTAAAAAAAATTACGTTAATTGAAAAAAAGAGGTTTGCTTCAAATCCATTAGTATAGAAAATTTGATGGACTTTTATCTTTCACCTAATAGATAATGTTCCCTTCCAAATCTTTTTGGTGGTACTTATCTCGAAAAAGAAAAAAACTTATTGTTGTGTTTCTAGCTTCTTCATCGTTATATTTATAGACTAACAAAGATGAAGAAAAAATAATGGAGTGCAAATGTTAGGAGCTCAACTTGGTATATCTCTAACATGGTAAACGAAATTCGCTCTCAAAATCCCTCATCATCATCACCACTCGCCTCCATCTTCTTTAACATGGACTTTCTCCATTTTTCAAACCAAGCACTACTAAATTTTTCAAAGGCAAGCACCACTTATCCGGGTTGTGATTTTGGTTGAAATGTTTGGTGGGTTTTATAGGCCGGACTCGATGGATTATATAGGGTAGCTTCACGTGCTTATTCGAGCCCACATTCTTATTGGATTTTCTTACCTTCTCGATCAAAGCCACATTAATTGGTGTTAGGTGTTGCTAATAATTGCCCGTACTTTAATTAGATGAAATTTGATAATTAATGCCTATTTAAAATTTTGTTGGAATTATTCAAAAAGAAATTAAGTGAATTGAAAGAAAGACATTTGATTCAAATCCACTGGTATAGAAAATTTGATGGATGTCTATCTTTCGCCTACGGATAATTTTCCCTTCAAAATATTTTTGGTCGTACTTATCTCGTAAAAAGAAAAGACCTTATTCGTTGTGTTTCTTTGTATTTCATTGTTATATATAGACACTAACAAAGAAGAAGAAAAAAGGGAGTGTAAACGTTAGGAGGTCGACATGGTATATCTCCAACATGATAGATGAAAGCGCTCTCAAAATCCCTTGTCATCATCACTACCACCTCCATCTTCTTCTTCACGAACTCTCTCCATTTTTCAAAGTAGCACTACTAAGTTTTTCAAAGGAAGCACCATTTATCGTGGTTGTTAATTTGGTTGAAGTGTTTGGTGGATTTTATAGGCCACATTCGATGTATTATATTGGGTAGCTTAACCTTCTTATTCAGTACCACATGCTTATTGGATTTTCTTACCTTCTCATTCAAAGCCACATTAATTGGTGTTAAGTGTTACTAATAATTGCCCCTACTTTAATTAGAGGAAATTCGATAATTAATGTCGATTGAAAATTTTATTGTAATTATTAAGAAAATAATAAGTGAATTGAAGGAAAGAGATTTAACTCAAATCCATTGGTACATAAAATTTAATGGATGTCTTTCTTTCACCAAATAGATAATTTTTCCTTCCAAATCTTTATGGTTGTACTTATCTCGGTAAAGGTAAAAAATTCATTGTTGTGTTTCGTACTCTTTCATCGTTATATATATACACTAACAACGAAGAAGAAAAAAGAGTGGAGTGTAAACCTTAGGAGCTCGACTTGGTATATCTCTAACATGATAGAGGAAAATCGCTTAGAAAATCCCTTATCATCACCACCACCACCTCCATCTTCTTTTTCATGGACTACCTCTATTTTTCGAAATAGCACTACCAAATTTTTCAAAGGCAACACCACTTATTAGGGTTGTGATTTTGGTTGAAGTGTTTGGTGGATTTTATAGATTATATAAGCTAGCTTCACATTCTTATTCGATACCACATGCTTATTGGATTTTTTTACCTTCTCATTCAAACGCTCATTAAATTGTGTTAGGTGTTGCTAATAGTTACCCTTACTTTAATTAGAAGAAATTTGACATTTAATGCCAATTGAAATTTTTGTTGGAATTTTTCAAAAAGAAATTAAGTGAATGGAAAAAAAGATTTTTGGTTCAAATCCACTAGTACAAAAAATTTGGTGGATGTCTATCTATCACCCAATAGATAATTTTCCCGTCCAAATCTTTATGCTTGATCTTATCTCGTAAAGGGAAAAAAATTATTTTTATGTTTCTTGCTATTTCATTGTTATATATATACACTAACAAAGAAGAAGAAGAAAAAAGCGTAAACCTTAGGAGCTCGACTTGGTATATCTCCAACATGATGGATTAAAATTGCTTTGAAAATCCCTCATCATCATCACCACCACCTCCATCTTCTAGTTCATGGACTCTCTCCATTTTTCAAAGCAAGCACTACTAAATTTTTCGAAGGCAAGCACTACTAAATAGGGTTGTGATTTTTGTTGAAGTGTTTGTTTGATTTTATAGGCCAGATTTGATGGATTACATTAGGTAGCTTCACTTTCTTATTCGATACAACCTAATTATTGGATTTTCTTACCTTCTCATTCAAAGCCACAATAATTGGTGTTAGGTGTTGCTAATAATTGTCCCTACTTTAATTAGAAGGCATTTGATAATTAATACCTATTGAAAATTTTGTTGGAATTATTCAAAAAGAAATTAAGTGAATTGAACAAAAGAGATTTGACTTAAAACCACCGGTATAGAAAATTTGATGGATGTCTATCTTTCGCCCAATAGATAATTTTCCCTTCCAAATCTTTATGGTTGTACTTATCTTAGAAAAGCAAAAAAGCTTATTGTTGTGTTTCTTGCTATTTCATCGTTATATATATACACTAGCAAAGAAGAAAAAAAAAAAAGGAGTGCAAACCTTAAGAGCTCGACTTGTTATATCTCCAACATGATAAGTGAAAATCGTTCTCAAAATCCTTGATCATCACCGACACCACCTCCATCTTCTTCTTCATGGACTCTGTTCACTTTTCGAAGCAGCACTACTAAATGTTTCAAAGGCAGCACCACTTATCAAGGTTATGATTTTTCTTAAAGTGTTTGGTGGATTTTCTAGGCCACATTCGGTCGATTATATAAGGTAGCTTTACCTTCTTATTCGATACAACATGCTTATTTGATTTTTTTACTTTCTCATTCAAAGCCACATTAATTGGTGTTAGGTGTTGCTTAAAATTGCCCTTACTTTAATTAGAAGAAATTTGATAATTAATGCTGATTGAAAATTTTGTTGGAATTGTTAAAGAAATATTAAGTGAATTGAAAAAAAGAGATTTGATTCAAATCCACTGGTATAGAAAATTTGATGGATGTCTACATATCACCCAATAGATAATTTTTCCTTCCAAATCTTTATGGCTGCACTTATCTCGGAAAAGGAAAAAAGCTTACTCGTTGTGTTTCCCGATATTTCATCATTATGTATATACACTAGCAAAGAAGAAGAAAAAAAGAGGAGTGCAAACGTTAGGAGCTCAACTTGTTATATCTCCAACATGATAGATAAAAATCACTCTTAAAATCCTTCATCATCATCACCACCACCTCCATCTTCTTTTTCATGGACTCTCTCCATTTTTCAAAGTTCCACTACTAAATTTTTTCAAAGGGAGCACCACTAATTAGGGTTATGATTTTTGTTAAAGTATTTGGTTGATTTTATAGGCTAGATTCTATGGACTACATTGGGTAACATCACCTTCTTATTTGATACCACTTACTTATTGGACTTTCTTACCTTCTCATTCAAAGCCATATTAATTGGTGTTAGGTGTTGCTAATAATTTTCCTTACTTTAATTAGAAGAAATTTGAAAATTAATGCCTATTGAAAATTTTATTAGAATTATTGAAAAAGAAATTAAGTGAATTGAAAGAAAGACATTTGATTCAAATCCACTAGTATAGAAAAATTGATGGATGTCTATCTTTTCCTAAATAGATAATTTCCCTTTCAAATCTTTATGGTTGTACTTATATCGAGTAAAGCAAAAAGAACTTATTATTGTGTTTCTTGCTATTTCATCGTTATATATATACCTTAGCAAAGAAGAAGAAAAAAAATAAAAGTACAAATGCTAGGAGCTCGACTTGGTATATCTCCAACATTACGGATGAAAATCGCTCTCAAAATCCCTCATCATCATCACCACCACCTCCATCTTCTTCTTCATGGACTCTCTTCATTTTTCAAAGTAGCACTACTAAATTTTTCAAAGGCAGCACCGCTTATCAAGGTTGTGATTTTGTTGAAGTGTGTGGTGGATTTTGTAGGCTAGATTCGATGGATTATATAGGGTAGCTTCACCTTCCTATTCGATACAACTCGCTTATTGGATTTTTTTACCTTCTCATTCAAAGCCACTTTAATTGGTGCTAGATGTTTCTAATAATTGTCCCTATTTTACTTAGAAGAAATTTGATAATTAATGCCGATTGAAAATTTTGTTGGAATTTTTTAAAAAATATTAAGTGAATTGAAAGAAAGAGATTTGATTCAAATCCATAGGTACAGAAAATTTGATGGATGTCTATCTATCACCCAATAGATAATTTTTCCTTCCAAATCTTTACGTACGTACTTATTTCGGGAAAGGAAAAAAACTTATTGTTTTATTTCTTGCTATTTCATCATTATATATATACACTAACAAAGAAGAGGAGAAAAAAGAGTGCAAACCATAAGAGCTCGACTTGGTATATCTCCAACATGATAGATGAAAATCGCTCCGAAAATCCCTCGTCATCATCACCACCACCTCCATCCTCTTGTTCATGGACTCTCTCCATTTTTCAAAGTAGAACTGCAAATTTTTTCAAAGCCGGCACCGCTAATTAAGGTTGTGATTTTGGTTGAAGTGTTTGTTTGATTTTATAGGCCGGATTCGGTGGATTACATAGGGTAGCTTCACTCGCTTATTCGATACAACTCGGTTATTGGATTTTCTTACCTTCTTATTCAAAGCCACATTAATTGATGTTAGTCGTTGCTAATAATTATCCCTACTTTAATTAGAAAAAATTTGATAATTAATGCATATTGAAAATTTTGTTCGAATTATTCAAAAAGAAATTAAGTGAATTGATAGAAAGACATTTGATTCAAATCCACTAGCATAGAAAATTTAATGGATGTCTATCTTTAACCCTATAGATAATTTTTTCTTCTAAATATATATGGTTGTACTTATCTCGAAAAGGAAAAAAAACTTATTGTTGTCTTTCTTGCTATTTCATTGTTATATATATATAATAACAAAGAAGAAGAAAAAGAGAAGAATACAAACCTTAGCAGGTCGGCTTGGTATATCTCCAACATGACGGATGAAAATCACTCTAAAAATCCCTCATCATCATCACCACCACCTCCATCTTCTTCTCAATGGACTCTCTCCATTTTTCAAAGCAACGACTACTAAATTTATCAAAGGTAGCACCACTTATCGGGGTTGTGATTTTGGTTAAAGTTTTTGTTGGATTTTATTAGCCGGATTCGATGGATTATATAGGGTAGCTTCACCTTCTTATTCGATACAACATGCTTAGTGGATTTCCCTACCTTCTCATTCAAAGCCACATTAATTGGTGCTAGGTGTTCCTAATAATTGCCCCTACTTTAATTAGAAGAAATTTTATAATTAATGTCAATTAAAAATTTTGTTGGAATTGTTAAAAAAATATTAAGTGAATTGAAAGAAAGAGATTTGATTCAAATCCACAGGTATGAAAAATTCGATAGATGTCTATCTATCACCCAATAGCCAATTTTTCCTTCCAAATCTTTATGGCTATACTTATCTCGGAAAGGGGAAAAAACTTATTGTTGTGTTTCTTGCTATTTCATCATTATATATATACACTAACAAAGAAGAAGAAAAAAGAGAGTGCAAAGCTTAGGAGCTCGACTTGGTATATCTCCAACATGATAGATAAATCGCTCCGAAAATCCCTCATCATCATCACTACCACCTCTATCTTCTTCTTCATGGACTCTTTCCATTTTTCAAAGTAGCATTACTAATTTTTTCAAATACGAGCACCACTAATTAGGGTTGTGATTTTTGTTGAGGTGTTTGGTGGATTTTACAGGACATACTCGGTGCATTCTATTAGGTAGCTTCACCTTCTTATTCGATAACACCTCGCTTATTGGATTTTCTTACCTTCTCATTCAAAGCCATGTTAATTTCCGTTAGGTGTTGCTAATAATTGCCCCTACTTTAGGTAGAAGAATTTGATAATTAATACCGATTGAAAATTTTATTTGAATTATTAAAAAAAATTAAGTGAATTTAAAGAAAGAGATTTGATTCAAATCCACTAGTATAGAAAATTTGATGGATGTCTATCTTTCACCCAACGAGATAATTTTCCCTTTCAAATCTTTATGGTTATACTTATCTCGGAAAATGAAAAAAAACTTAGTGTTGTGCTTCTTACTATTTCATCATTATATATATACACTAACGAACAAGAAGAAAAAATAGAGGAGTGCAAGCCTTAGGAGCTCGACTTGGTATATCTCCAACATGATATATGAAAATTGCTTTGAAAATCCCTCATCATCATCACCATCACCTCCATCTTCTTCTTCATGGACTCTCTCCATTTTTCAAATCAACACCGCCAAATTTTTTAAAGGTAAAACCACTAATTAGGGTTTTGATTTTGGTTTAAGTGTTTGATGGATTTTCTAAGCCGATTCGATGGATTATATAGCGTACCTTAACCTTCTTAGTTGATACCACATGCTTATTGGATTTTCTTACCTTCTCATTCAAAGCCATATTGATTCGTGTTAGGTATTGCTTATAATTGCCCCTATTTCAATTAGAAGAAATTTGATAATTTATGTCGATTGAATACTTTGTTTGAATTAGTCAAAAAGAAATTAAGTGAATTGAAAGAAAGAGATTTGATTCAAATCCACTAATACAAAAAATTTGATGGATGTCTATCTTTCACCTAGTAGATAATGTTCCCTTCTAAATCTTTATGGCTATACTTATCTCGTAAAAGGAAGAAAACTTATTCCTGTGTTTCTTGTTATTTTATCGTTATATATATACACTAACAATGAAGAAAAAAAGAGAGGAGTGCAAACCTTAGGAGCTCCACTTGGTATATCCGCAACATGATAGATGAAAATCGCTCCGAAAATACCTCATCATCATCACCACCACCTCCATCTTCTTCTTTATAGACTCATTCAATTTTTTAAAAAGCACTACTAAACTTTCAAAGGTAGCACCACTAATTAGGGTTAGGATTTTGGTTGAAGTCTTTTATGGATTTTATAGGCCAAATTCGATGGATTATATAGGGTAAGTTCACCTTCTTATTCGATGCCACATGCTTATTAGATATTGTTACCTTCCGATTCAAAGCCATATTAATTGGTGTTAGGTGTTGCTAATAATTGCCCCTACTTTAATTAGAAGAAATTTGATAATTAATGTAGATTTAAAATTTTGTTGGAATTATTCAAAAAGAAATTAAGTGAATTGAAAGAAAGACATTTGATTCAAGTACAATGATACGAAAGATTTGATGGATGTCTATCTTTCACCTAGTAGATAAGTTTCCTTTCAAAATCTTTATGGTTGTACTTATCTCAAAAAAGGAAAAAAACTTATTTTTGTGTTTCTTGCTACTTCATCGTTATATATATACACTAACAAAGGAGAAGAAAGAAGAGAGGAGTGCAAGCCTTAGGAGCTCAACTTGGTATATCTCCAACATGATAGATGAAAATTGCTCCGAAAATCCCTCATCATCATCACCATCACCTCCATCTTCTTCTTTGTGGACTCTCTCCATTTTCCAAAGCAACTATAACCCCCGTCGAATCCTTAATTATATATATATATGTATGTATGTATGTATGTATGTATGTATGTTTATATAGGCCGAAATCTTCAAATAAGTGAAGGTGTGATTGTGTATATGTGCCATTTAAGTATTTTGGGATGACAACATACTAGATGTTTAGGTGAGGTTTTATGGAATAAAATTTTGGAAAATTACACCATGAGAAGTTAATGCCTGAAATGTATGATTTTTATTAAATTAAAACAATTTTAATTGACATTGATGGTTTAATTATTAGCAGAATCAAGTATGCAAAATCGAGTGTTATTAAGTAGATTGTCCTAATTATGTGTGGCTTATTCATTGACCTTAGAGTGATTTCTGGGTGAACCTTAAAGAATAAAAGTTTTTTATCTATTTCTTAAACAACACTCTGTACAATATTCGATTATTAGGCTTATATATAAAACATTATGCCTATTTTAGTACATACTCGCTCTAGACGCAATACTCGTTGGGCGGATTGATCCTTAAACTTTAAAATTTCGTTGTGACTTGTGTGTTGGGTTTTTTAACGTAATTTTTGGATATGTTGTACCTTAATATGTTTATTTTCTTAAATAAAAAGCATAGGATTTAATGGTGCCTAAAAGAGGGACTTTTCTCTTTGATAAGAGGCTTCCTTGTCATGTATGCGGTACAACTAGATTTAATAAGTTTGTTACTTGAACTAAACTACCTTAAGGGACTTTGTCAATGGAACTAAACTGGATTAATGATATTAGTTAGTTTAATTATGTAGTTAGTACATAGTTAGGACACCTAAGCACCCTAATTAATGAGTTAAAAGCTAGCTCACACACCCCGATTAGCCAAATCCAAACAAACCCACCACTTGCTCCTTTTCATCACCCCTCACTTTACACTTTTCCATATTACTTTGGGAAATTTTTATTCCTATTAACTACAAGAAAATGAAGTGTATATATATATAGAAGTGAAGTATATGGTTGCTACTTTTAGTCCAAAATCGTAGCTTACAAAACAAGAGAGAAAAGCAAAGTGCGAAAGAGTGAAAACACAACAAAAGAGGAAAGGAAGAAAAGGAAAGAAGAAAGAAAAAAAAAAGAAGGGAAAGCATGATTTGGTTCTCTTGAGGAAGAATTGACGTTGAGTTATCTAAATAAGTTAACAATTACTAATAAAGTTCTCACCTCATAATGTTAGAAGGCGTTTAACTTGATATTAATTTGAAGGATTTAATATAATAGGTCTCATTATTTTAATCCTAGCATGACATACTAGATATTAATCGTATAAAAATCATATATATAAGAGTTCAATCACATCAATTTCATGCATGACTCAAAGACTGATGAATGGTAATAGATCACTACTACTAGTCGCCTCGAACCATAAGGAGACTAGTTGTAACCCCCGTAAAAACCCTTATCCGTAACGCGACGTGTATTGGAATAATTCTATATATATGTATATTAAGAGTAAGTATAATTATCATTTCATCATGAGAAATTAATGCTTGAAATATGTGATTTATGTTAAATTAAAGTTATTGTGCTTAAGATTAAAGGTTTAATTATTAAAGAAATCAAATATGCAAAATCGAGTGTTTTAAGGACTATATTCTCGCTCGAGTTTTGTGTGAATTATTTGAGGACATTAGGATACTTTTTGGGTCAACCTTTAAGAATGAAAGTTGTTTACCTATGTGTTGGATAGGCCTGTATAAAAGTGTATAATTTTTGGACCTATACATTAAGAGTTATACCAATTATAGTGAGGGTTGTTTCGGAATGCATTCTGCTGGAATTTTGGGAGAAGAATCGCCCGAATCTTGTCGATTTATTTGATGCTCGTTAGATTAATTTTTGAGCAAACCTTAAAGACTAAAGGTTGTTTTTATATGTGTTTACTAGCTCTCTATAAATTTTCATAATTGTTTGAACATATATAAAGTGTTATGCACATTTTAGTATAAATGGGTTAGGAGGAAACACTGCTGGAATTTTGAGGGGAAAAGAAATTCTGAATTTTTAAAAATGAAAATTTCCGAATTTTTATGAAAAAAAGTAGTTTTAGTTACTTTAATTAAGTTAATTAATTATTTTAATTAGTCTAAATTTTATATAGACACCTAAGTAAATGCAATAAATGAATTTAATGCCAACTCACCCATTATGGATTCCAAAGCGACTAGCTTTCCTCATGACTCACCCATAACCTTTACACCTTATCCCATTAATTTCTAACACTTGTAGCTGAATGAAAATAAGTATATATATAGCAAGTGTTAAAATGGGAGAAAAATTTTAGTAACCCGTAGGTACCAAAAATTGAGAGAGAAAAGGCAAGAAAGAAAAGGGAGGAAGAAAAACGTGAGAGAAAGGAAAGGAAAGAAAAAGAGAGAGGGAAAAAGAAAAGGAAAAGAGCTAAGGAAATTCTAATCAAACCTAAAAGAGGTAAGTAGGTTTCATTTTTTTAGCTGATTAATGTCTTGAATTATTTTTTTAAAGTTATTTTGTTAGTGTTTATTTCATGGGTTGTAATAATTTTCAATGGTTATATGCTTGATGCTTGGGATAAATCTATGTATGGATGCCTTGTTGTGATGATTTATGATGTTATGATTTTTTGAAAAATGTCCAAGTATGTGGTGATGGGTTGGATTGAACTTCGACTAAATTTAAGTGAACTAAACCATGTTTAAAGTTGGCTTGGAATGAACTAATAAATTAGTGTTGATAAGGAGTAAATTCTGTCCGAATTTTGGGGTCATGTTCAAGGATTGTAGGTCGATTTTTGAGTGAAACTTAAAGAATCAAAGTTGTTCATCTATGCTTCAAATAACGGCCTCTAAAAGTTCTTGGTCATTGGAGTGGTGTACAAAGTGTTATACCCGATTTAGTATGGAAAGCTCTAGATAAACTACTACTTGGCAGATTACTCCCTAAGTTTCAAAATGTTTAATTAATTATGTACTTGGTATTTAAAATTAATTTTTGGATATGTTATAAATAAATATGTCTAGTATCTAAAATAAAATGGGTAAGATTTAATTATGTTATGAAATTGAAAAATTATTTATTCGACTAGGAGTTGCTCGGTAATAAACCCCGAAACCAAAGAATTAGACTTGGACAAAATTAATGGATTTGGAATAAAATAAATGGGCTTGGACTAAATAAAATAGAATTGAAAAGAGTCAATGGACCTTGGATAAAGTTAATGGGCTCGGATTAAAGTAAATCGGCTTGGATCTTCTTTTAAATATTAATGAAACTAATGAACGAGTATTAATGAGCGAAGATTGTGTTCTTGCTTGTGGGTATCATGATTGGTGTGTGAGCAATGGATAAATTCCGAGTGTGGGTTGAATCGTGAGTATGGCATGAGAATGAAGGGTTGGTACCCGAATTTGGTTGAATGTGATTAAATATGTCATCACGTGCATCATGTGCATAGTGGGTGGTTTAAGACAAGTCAATTGATTGAGAATTGGTTTATACATCTAGGTTTGATAACCTAACTAGAATAAATGGGTATTAGTAGTCTAGTACTCTAGGTCATGTGCTCGCATTATTAGACGATGGATTTCGCTAATAGTAGTTACAACGAGGGATAATTCGTTGTAGCGAGAAGATGATCCGAGGATCATCTGGATGAAATCAAGTCTGTATGCTTACACTGTTAGACGATGGATTCTCGCTAACGGTAGTTACAACGAGGGATAATTTCGTTGTAGCAAAAGGTGATCTCGCGGACCACCCGGATGATAAATAGAGTAAACTAGCTAATACCCAAGGTATCCGAGATTAAAATTTATGAGTATGGTGGGAAGTCAAAACAACATTGCATATCACGTGCATCACCTCGCTTACCGAGCTTCGGCTCACCTCGTTGTTATTTTTTTTTATGTCTTGACGGAAAAAGGATAAGTTGGTACGGATGCGGCTGGCTCCTCCTAACCGGCTCATGTGAGGCACCATATATTAGTTTTTATTTTGTCTCGTAAATTTGGCGTATGGAGTTCGTAAGAAATTGAATATTGCTTGTAATGTTTTATTAATGTATTTAATTATGTTATGTAAATTTTATCTTAAGGAGTTATATACATTATGTACTCGTTAAAGTTCTAAAAATATCATAAGAAAACTACTTAGAGTTTAGGGTATGTCGGCGTAATGCGTTTCGTCCGATACCCTACTTGGGTAGTAAAAATATGATCAGGGCGGGGCGTTACACTAGTGGGTCCAATACCTAAGTGAAAAGTTATTATAAATTTTTCAAGATTGTCCTCTCTTCTTGGCTTCTTTTCCTTGCATCTATTTTAATAATGTATCTTCTACTCTTATAATTCTTTTAATAAGAAACCTCGAGTTACATTTGAAGGGGGTAAGATGAGAAGAAAAATACATTAGAATAATAGAAAAAGCGGGACACACAAGCCTTATTTAAATAAAAATTTACAAGTACACATTCTTAAAATTAGGTCGACTCGTTCATACCACACATGCTTCAATTATATTGATATATGACATATAAGCAAATGAAACACATTTTATTTTAATCAAAATTATAAATCTATTGATTTTTTTCATTTTATAAAAATTAAAATTTTCTTTAAATTTTTGTTTCTTAGATTTTTAGGCTTTATGCTTATAGGTTTTTGGGTCTAGGAGGCCTATAAGTCGTCATGCCCCGGATGACCAATGTATAGCATAGGCCAAAAGCTTCCACTAGCCTAGTACTAGCCACTAAGAACTAGCGCTTGCATGCACTGCGCTCGGCCCTAGACACTAGCGAGTGCCTTATATAGGTAGTTTGCCAATTAGCCAATGCCTCACACTAGCTAGCAACCCCACTAGCGTAGCATGCACTAGGCATGCCTAGTGTTCTTATAAATGCCTACCTTGGTCATGCTTGGCATGGGCAAGGCACGCGCTTTGGCCTAAATATTAATGCGCATACGAGCTTTAACGTCCAATGTTGGCCTCATGTGCAGCCATTATTTTCTTACCCAATTCAATTTTAAAATTATTATGAAATACCAAAAGCCCTAGATTTATAATTAGAAAATAATAACTCAAGTAGTTAATACATTTAGCATAACATACAATTAAAGATTTAACAAAGGCTTTGATACTAATTCAAGGGATCATGCATCCTATAGAGGTGTGGAATAAACAAAAAAATTTCCTCCATCCGGGGTTCTCAAGATCATGTCATTGAATCTACTAATCATACATAAACATGAATCAAATTAAGATGAGTGATTACCTCTTCTAGTGTAGAAAAAATTTAAGTGGAAAGGAACTTTCCGAGTATTCGACCTCTATTGATTATCCATGCAACTCAAACATCGACACAAGAAATAAAAAAATCATCATGTGCTAGCTCCAACTATTTTGTGCGGTGAATTTTTCTCTAGCAATCCTATCGGGTAGTTTGCATCAACTTTTTGGCTTCTTTTTAGGGAGAGATGCAGTAACTTTTATTTAGGGGAGAAAAATATTTTCTCTCTTGTTATTTTCTTATTCTTGTCATGTATCTCCTCTCTACACACAAACACACACGCATATAAACACATACACACACAAACACACACACACACACACACACACACATATATATGTGTGTGTGTGTGTGTGTGTGTGTGTGTGTGGTAGCATCTTTAACCTACAAGGAGAAGAAGTTATGGCAGCTTTATCCTATGAGGACAAGAAGTTATAAGAAGTATGAACTTATTTGATCTTTTTCCTATAAACCCTAGGCCTTATCCAATAGTGCTCAAGTTTATCCCTTTACCAAAATACCTTGTAGACTTTTAAATTAAACCTATTGGCTTAATTAATTATCAATTAATTTCAACCAACCAAATAAATTAGGCCAAGTATTTTAGTGAGGCCAACATTAAGAAACAATTTCCTAAATTACCTTTAAACTTGAATTAGGAAACTAATTTTCTTTTTAGATAATTGTCTTTTAAATTTGAAGTTGACTTCCAAATTAGGAAACTAATTTCTAAAATATGAATCTAAATTTTTATTTTTAGGAAACTAATTTTTCAAAATAGGAAACTTTGAAAACTTTCCAAAGCGAGAAACTTTTTCCAATAACATTTGCTTCTCTTGTATCGTGTAAATGTTTAAAATAATGTGTGTGACTCGGTAGGCTTTTAGATACATTGATAACATATCAAGAAGATAAAATACACCTCTTTTATCTCTTAATACAAAATTTAGATTAGCCTCTAACTAGGCATAATGACTATCCAATTCTCTAGAAGGATTAATTAATCCATAATTGCCTTTCATGAGTATGGTTTCCATACAATTTAGTCCTTTTGTCAATTTATCGTGGTGCGATCTCAAACTTGGTTTATTGTGTATTCGATTATGATCACACAAGTTTTCTATATTTTCAAATGTCTTAGCTCTAAAATAAACCAACTATGTTCTATTGTTATACTCCTAGTATGGGCATAAATTTCTTGAGTAGATATTCATCGAAGTGCAATGTGATAACTTATTTAGCATGTAAGAAATGACATGTCCTATCTTAGTCATCCACCTATATCTATTAGATTCCTACTGCACCTAACAAGTTGCCCACATTCAAATTTTTACTAAGCCCATTGAAATGAATATTAAAGTCCATAATTTCTCTAATAAGATAACCGTGATGACTTCAAGTTAAAGAACTAGTTGTACCCATCTTATATGAGATTATGATAGACTATACCAAATGGGTTCTCATGATGAGTCATGTGTAGCGTTATGTTCTCTAACATTAATCACCTAAGTGCTTGTTTTGGCATCATCATGCTAATAGGCATAAGATCTCCTACTATTATCTTATGGCAAGAGTGGCACTCATAAGTCTTATCGTATATAACTAATTTTAATTCTTGACAATGCTATGACTTAAGAAATTTAATGATATCATTTAAGTGCATTGATATTTGTCTCACATCTTTCATTAATCATTAATGCAATGTATATCTTATGGATTTCTATCTAATTCTATTAAATTATAAATAATAAGAATTAATAAAAAGACTTCTTTTATTAATATTATAAATTCTTTTATTAGTATTATAATGCAATATTATGATACATCAAAGCATCCAAATAAGTTAGATCTTAGGCACCTACACTAACAAATACAATTAAAGCGGAATAAAAAATCGAAGGATTAAAATAGAAATGGTAGGAAAAATGAAAGACTAAAATGAAATTTGACAAAAAAAAAAAAAAACCCTAAGGCCCTACTATATAAACACCTCTTTCTCTTCTCCAAAAAAGAAAAAAAAAAGATGAGGGGTATTTTTTGAGAGAGATCCCTTAGAAACCAATTGCTCTCTCTCTCACATAAAACCTTTCTAACCACCTCTTCACTTTCACCATCGCCAATAGCCTCTATTTCGATCATATCCACCACCTATCACCGATCACCTCTATCACTTAAAGCCATTTTAGCATCATCAATAGCCTCTTCTCTCACTCACCATCAACTAATATATATTACTAACAACCACCGACCTTGTTGATAACCTCCATCACGTAAACCCACTCCATTTGTATCGATAACCTCATCTCTTCCCCCTCCACACTATCACTCGAACAGCCAAGCACATCTATCCTCACCCAAAACCACATAACCACAATGAATTGATAACCTCTCTCTAAATTCTCGTCACCTTCAAAATGCCTACACCTACCCACTTCCATTAACCTCCATGCCCTCAAATGCCAACAAACAATCCTTCACTCACTCATAACTAACCTCATTAAAACCCACTAGCCTTTCATCATAACCTAAACCTATAGCCAAAATTTTGCTCGGAGTTATTAGTTATCAATAATAATAAAAAGTTGAATCAAGCAAAAACAGACTTCTAAACTTGACTACCTAGTTTGATTGTAGACATATTGTCTAAGGTTTTTTTTTTTTAGATTTTAGTTTTGAATAACTCTCTAGTTAGAATGAAAAGGGCCATATGATTTGTTTTAATGCAAAAATAAATTAATTTCTCCTTCTTGATTGATAGTGGTTGTTGCAGTCATCATCATGTTAAAGAAAACAATACTAACCCAATGGGTGATTTAGTAATTTCACATAGAAGATACATAATCGACCCTTCTAGTAGCTCTCCACTATCCCATTGATCGTTGGGTAAAAATTTCAAAACTAATGTATACTCTCTTTTTATTTTTAGAATATTATGATGATGAAAAATATAATATAAATGTTAATGGATTGTTCAAAGTGTCTTGAGATACACCATCGCGTACCCAACTTAAGAGGTCCAAAGTATGTTAAGGTGAATAAGATCGGACTCGGTACTCTTCTTATAAACTCGGAAGGATGGCATTAAGTTTAATATTTAAGGTTTATCTAAGATAAATGTCAATCTCTTTGGGATGCAAATTGATTGTTTGCTTGAAATGTTTATATTGAAATTATGATGTTTGAATCAATGGGTAGATTTAGAAATGAACCTATTTATGAACTTTGATATTCCTCAATCTATATGAAAATTGAATGCTTATGTTGTAACAATCTTTTTACAAATGTGATTATCATGATTTACAAACTCATAATGCTCAAATTGATGTGTGAATTTATTCATGCTTCAAATTAATATGTAACTAGACATTCTTGAGTATATGAAATTCAAATATTCATGTTGAAATATCTTTGTGATATGATTCAAATTAAGTCATGTGTTTTCATTTCATGCATTCAAATTAAGAAGTGACTTTTCATTTCATTCATACAAATTAAGTTGTGAGTTCTCATTTCATGAATCATGAGTGAAGTCATGAGTTTTTATTTCATGCATTTTAAGTGAAGTTATGAGTTTTCACTTCATGCATTATAGGTCAAGTCGTGAGTTTTCATTTCACACATTCGAGGTGAAATCATGAGTTTTCATTTCATGGATTATGAGACATTCTAAGTGAAGTCATGAGTTTTATTTCACAAATTATGAGTAAAAGTCATTCAAAGCCATAAGCTTTTATTTCATACATTCTTATGTGAGTTTTCATTTCATGTTCTTGATGAAAAACCATGAGTTTTCAACACATGCATTTAATAAAATTTATGGATTTTCATTCAGCTAGGTTTACGCAATGTTCATTTTCTTTTTGTTTTTATGACATATCCTTTTGAGTGAGAAAGAGATCGTTGATTAGCCAAATCCCAAATCACTCAATTGATTAGTCTCCGATATGCTAGCAAACATTCATAAATAAGCATAGAATTTCATCAAAATAAAAATCAAGAATTATGTTTAGACTTTTATACAATGCACCTCTTTATGAACCTAAAAAGAGACGAGAAAAATCCTTTCCTACACATAACCAATCTCTTATCCTAGAACTTGAAGCAAACCAATCATTTGGTTTCTAATGACCATTAATACTACGTGGCGACTATTTTTTATCCTGTTCCTTAATTATTTTTAAGCTCACCATTCCTTTTTATGTCACGGACGCCGTTGTGAAAATATGAACTTCCTTCCAAATGACATACCAACCAATGATGAAGGAATGAATATGATAGCTCTCGATAGCATCGAGTATGATAATTAGAGGTCCGTTTTAAAAGTATCACTAGAAAAGTTGTTAAAAATGCTATCACAAGTGTGTTATATCTAAAAGCTTATAGAAGAGCAAGTTGCCACCAATATTGACAATTGCTTAAAAAAGTTAAAAGAGTAAAGGTTTTGAAGATGTTGGAAAAGAGAAAGGTAGGGAGAAATTCGAAATGAAAATGATGTCATCAAGTATTGAAAACTAGTCAAACATGTTTTCATATACTGGTTCACATGAAACATGAATCCAAGAATGATTTTATTAATGCCGATCATTTCGATGTTCAACAATTATCATGCCACACTTTACAAAGCCGTATTTATATTCTAAGACAAGTTTAGGAATTACTAGTGAAAACGAGTACTAGTTTGGTGTCATTTGAGGAGTTATGTTTATGAATATGGAATATTGTGCTTGAGAATCTCTAAAAAATGCTTGTGCCTATAATTTGTCAATTCAATCTTTTACTTTTTATCGAGTTTTTGAACTATAATTCCTAAAATATTTTACTATACATGGATTCAATCGTATCTTTGAATGAAGTATTTTCTATTCTTTTTGTTTTTTGCAATTTCATATTATTTGAGTTGAAATTAAGAGATGTTTGCTTGAAAATGTTATTTGGTATTATGCCTTCATCTATTAGGAAAACATAATGATAAATTTTATTCAAAATATTTAAAATTAATCAAATTTCAAAGCCTATTGCATAGATGCTAAGAGGTAATCTCTCATATGAGTAAAGCTAAGGATATCTTTTTCTTTCCTAATAAACATCTTGAGCAAACAAGTAAGGGCAATCCCTCATTTTGTCAAGAAAAAAGAAAAAGAAGAAATTTATTTCATTTATTGGCGGATTGAGGGAATTTTTTGCCTAACATAATATCATGAAGTCCAAAATTGGAAAACCAAATGGTTTAATGTCTTAAATCATAATTAATAGTACATCTTCAAGTAGTGATTCCAAATTTAGCTCACCGCTTCTTCTCTTCAATTAACCTTAGAATTTTCCAAATCAATCTAGGATTAGCATTTATCAAGCATAGACAAATTAGATTTTCGGATGAAGAAAAATCATCTTTATTATATCTCATAGAAATTATATCTCTTGTTTTTTTCTTTTTGAGCCTTAACAATTTCATTTATAATAACTTTTATCTAGATCACTTCTTACACTAGGAAAAAAATGAGAAGTTCATAAATAATTGATGAAGCTCTCTAAAAATTTTTTTATTTCCCATGAAAATGTGTCAAAAAAGTATTGACAATGGCTCTAAAGAAACAAAGGAGAAATGAAAAAAAAAAAAAGCCCAATGCAAATGTAAAGTCAAGATGGGATTTAAAAATCAAAAAGGAAAAAAGAAACAACAAAAATAAATGTACAATGAGAGTTAAGGGGAAAAAAAGATCAACAACTAGAATGACAAAATCAATATAAAATGCCTAAGAAGGTCTCCGCAAATACCGAGTTAAGACTAAAAAAATGAGATCAATAATGTTAAATTCAATATGGCATATGCCTAAAAGGCTCTTCATAAATATAAAAATGATATGGAAATTTACATCAATAATGAGAATGTGAAAGTCTAGGCAGCATGTCTAAAAGTGATCTCTATAGACAACAAATTGATCACATATCTTTGAATCCTTAAACACTCTTTACGCCTTTATATATCCATTCTTTCATGAACCCGAGCCCTAACCTATGTCACTTGTTTTTATAAGCCTTTTTTGATCGAAGTCGATTTATCTATGTTGAAAACGTTTTAACCCCAAAAGAGAGAAAAATAAAATGCTTTTGGAAAGGAGAAAAAAATACCTATTGATATGCTATTCATCATTTTTTGTGACATCACATCATAAGATTTCATCAAATTCAAAGAGATAAAAAAAAAAAAAAAAACAGAACCAAGATATCTCAAGATAAGACTACTTATTGGAGATTAATTTTAAGAATATCTTTTTTCGAGCCTATTAACAATGATATCTTGAGACAAGACTATATGTTGGAGCCTAATTTTCAGAGTAACTTTTGTTCAAGTCAATCCATTAATTTAATAATTTTCTTTTCAAGACCATCAAGGAACCATTCTTTCTAAAAAAATCATGCATGATTTGAACACACTTCATCATTTAACTTAAAGCAAGGTTCACCTTGAGAAAATTTCATCATAGAATTTGGAAAACATGTTTTGACTTTTGACCAACCAAATCGAACATCTTCATGAACAAAAATACTTTTATGTGAACCTCTTTATGATTTCTTTTTTTAATAATTTGACTTTCTTTAAAAGAATTATTCCAAATTATAGTTTAGACCATACAAATAAAAATATTTATTCAATGATTTTTCTTAAAATGCGATGAAAATCTCAAGATTAATTTGCAAATTGAGGTACAAGCACCAAAAGAGGAGAGTAAGCACAAGTCATGATAGTGGAAGGTGGACAACAAATGAATAATCGCAATGAGTACTTGGAGACTTGTCATGATCTCGGTTTCAATTCATGCAAAATAAGATAGTGATTCGCATCATTCAAAGTACCTACAAACAAATTCAATTACTTAAAGTTTGATTTAAGTTCTAAATTTTGTCAAAATAATCTTAGGCCAGCTGAAATCCAAATGCGAGTAGAGCCAATCTAATGGAAATAACAAGAGAAGCTAGCCTTGAGCATCAATCCAAGCGAGTTAAGGCAATCAAACTAGAAGGGATAGGGAGTGATATCAAGATGAGATGCCACAATTTAATGAGATCCTATCAAGCAAGCCTTGTGCATCAACCCACACAATTAAGACATTCAAACTAGAAGGGCTAGGAAGCTATCTCAAGATAAGATGCCACAATTTAATGAGAGCATGGAATCTTTAAAACAATCTCAATTGTAATAGAATCAATCTAGTTAAAGGAAAGAGAGCTTGAAAAATAATTCTTAAGCATTAATCAAAGTAGCTAGAACAATCAAAGCAGGTAACAATGGAGTTAGGTCATGCAAATCAAAAGCCGATATCCTAGAACATTTCAAGTTTTGCTTCACTACAACGATCCAGGTTAAAGAAAAGTTGAGTTTTCAAGTGTGATATATGTTCCTTTAGGTAATGAGACTTTACATGAAAAAAGAACCCAC